CTGAAAAATGCCAGCAATATCCATCTGATCACAGCAGAATTATAAAAAAAGTGGAAGACACATAAAAATTCTGTATGCAGTAATATCCCAACATACTTAATATGTCTCAAACAGTTGACTTTATTAAAGTTGTTTGCAGATGGTTCTCTACTTGTATAAGTTTGACCTTCAAACACCCTGTGTTATTGTATATTACCTATCTTTAAACAGTCTTTCACACATTTAATTCAGATATTCATATACCAGCTAATAACTGAATGTTTTCAGCTACTGCATGGTGATGCTGTTTGCCAGCCAACTTGGGTTCTATTTTCTTTCCCATTCAGCAGTTTCTGTGCAATTATTTAATTTTATTGTATTTTTATAAATTGTAAAAAGAAATGAGTAGAAAATATAATGCTAGTGATAAGAAGTAGACATCTCAAACTAAGAATATGTAAGATTAAGATGAAAATAATTATATATGCTAAGAACAGACTATCTCAAAAGATAGTCACTAGACTTAAGCCATGGACCAAAAGCAGGCTCAACTGTAAATGAAACGAACAAAATTGAAGTGCATGTATAAAATTCTGCAGTGCTAACGCTGTATTAAAAAAGGGAATGGTCTGTCAGTAGGTGGACAGAATCACTGATCATCAGACCATACAGATGGTTCTTACAGTGATAAACCGTTGTTTTCACACTGTCTCTATATTAGGTTACCTAAGATGTACAATAAAACCATGCTTCTCAAGCCTGGGTAAGAGTCAGTGGTGCTGGGGTAAAGAGGGTATTCTGGGAGCATATTTGGCCCCAAAATAAACACAGTTTATTCTTATTCTTTACCTTATAAATTATCAGATGGTATATTATTTGTAAGGAGTTCTGGTGGAGTAATGGTTAGGTGCTCAGGGGATAACCAAAAGGTTGAACCTACCAGTCACTCAGTGGGAGAAAAGACCTGGCGATCTGCTCCCATAAAAATGTACAGCCTAAGAAACACTATGGGGCAGTTCTACTCTGTCCTACAGGGTCGCCATGAGTCAGAATCAACTCGACAGCACACAACAATACAAAAGAACATATTATTTGTAATTTAACATTTTTAATATCAAAACTTAGTAAGAGCTAGTTTATTCTGTAAACCTTCATCTAAAGTACAATTTTAAAAAAAAAAACTTATTAAGAGTGTCACTGCCTACACTTCTTTTTCTCTCTCCCCAAAGTTAATTCAAAACTGGGCAAAACAATGAGTAATTTTCCATGGAATGGGTCATCTAGAACAGAAGCAGCAATAAAAAAAAATGACAGCAAATAAAGTCGCTAGAATTATATCAACGTTTGCTTAATTCAACAATATTAGAATAATTAAAGTTATCACATTTTAGCTATGAAACAAGGGACAACAGCTTTAAAAGAAAAGCAGACCATATTATGACTTAGCTCCCCTAAAGTAGAACATATTACTTAGCTTCCCTATGACAGGCCAACTACATCATTTGTTTGGAAAGAAACTTTAGAGCACTTGAAACAAGTTTAATTTTGGTACTCTTAATTCAGCAAACTCTCAAAAAAGAAACTTAAATAAAGACAAATAAACTTAGTCTTTACTCAGTATTATTAGAGAAAAAGTAAGATTTTCCACATAAATTAAACAGAAAACAAAACAAAAGATACCTTGTTCACACAAACTAGACTTTGCTCATCTAATCTGCATATTTGACAGAGAGTGCAAATATAAATTTTGGCAAAGTCCATTCTATCTATAAACTTCTTACCAAAGAAAATGGAAAGATCTTATCTGCTAAATATCCTGCACACCTATACACAACACAGCTAAAAAGAGATGTGATTTGCTTCCCTGTGATAATGAGGTATTCCTAATGAGAGTTTTTGACCACTCTTCAGTTTCCTCAAAATATACAGAAGCACTTAATGACATTTTTGACTTTACAGAAATGGAAAGTGAGAGCATCCTTAGACACGTGCCAATAAAATGACTATCAATGTGACCGGTAACAGAAAACATGTTAGAATGCTGGCCAACTGTAAAATCATATTTTCAAAGCGTTGGACAAGAAGGATGTCTTTCTATAATTTGGAAATTCACTGAGAATGACAATGGAGAAAAGAATTAGAGAATAAAACAGAAATTCATATTTTATTTCTCCAAAACTTTTCATGATCTTTAAAAGGGCCATACGGAGACTAGAAAAGGACGAACAGGCCGTACCTGAGTTGTTCAATGCAATGTCTAGGGAATTACTTCACTATCAAGTAATAGGGTCTCAGAAGGGAGAGAATATAAATACTTGGGGTCACTCTACCACCTTGAATTGGACCATGGTATAACATGGCTTTTCATTTGTTTGAAATGTAACATAATTCTTTAATATATTTAAATAACAACCAAAATTTCTTTGAAGATTTTTGCCATCCAAACATGAGTGCATAAAGGGTTAATTTTCCACTGAATCTTTTCTATCTCCCCACAAGATTGTTTTTAAAAATTCTAGAATTTAAGAAATATTTCACGAGTGGATACGTATGTACTGAAAATTCACTGCATTATGATTTTGATCTGAGTAGACAGTAAATCCTTTGTGTGTTTGTTCCCCTTGTCAACCTTTGACTTTGTTTAGCAACCATAGAGGAGAGAGAAGTACTTCTACTTTTACGAAGTATGGGTTATTATTTATATTCATGAAACCCACAGAGCAGACAGGCTATGATTAAATGCATAAACATTATAGTCCTCCCGGTCTCTCAAAAGACATGGGTAACATTTGACTTTGAATCATACACATGATCCCTGTCAGCTCTGGGTGGGCAGGAAAGCCTGATGAGAGAGGAGGTGTGTTTGAAACGGGAACACAGGAAACTCAGGAGCAATACTCCCTTGCCCACAGAGAGAAGTTAGTGTGACTAAGGAGGTATTCTTTACAGTCACAGTTTTCAACTGGCCTATATATACTCCTGGGGTGACAGGAAGACTTTCCAGTTTTCTAAATTGATGCTTGAGAGAGTACCTGAGATCAAGGAGTCCCTTTTCACAATAGCCCTAAGAAAGACGTGACATTACTTATGTAGTATTCCGTGGTATTCCAGCCAAAAATGCATAGCCTATAACTAATCATGAGGAAACATCAAATAAACCCAAAATGAGGAATGTCTAATAAAAACAAAGGAACTGTATTCTCCAAAAACTTAAATGTCATAAAGAGAAATGCCATAGAAATGTTCCAGATAAGATGACTTAAGGAGTATGACAACTAAATGTTAAGACTTAATCCTGGGCTGGATCCTACACTGAAGGGAAAAAAAAATCTATAAATGACATTATTGAGTCAATTAACAAAACTGAAATATAATCAGTAGATCTACGGAATCCACTAAAAGGAGATTGAAGTATTGTACAACATTTAGTATACTGCAGCTGATGAATGTATTGTGGTTATGTAAGGTAACACCCTTATTCATAAGAAATAGACACTGGAAGTATTTAGGAGTAAAGGATCATAATGCCCATAATGAAACTCAGTTTCAAACGGTTCGGGGAAATAATTATATACATATAATTTTGAATGGGGGGGGGAATTAGACACATACACATAATCTAGAAAGAGAAACAGTGCAAATAGTAATGTAATGGGTAAAATATTAAAAATAGTAGAAACTAACACATATACACATATTGCAAAACTTTTCTGTAAATCTGAAATTAGAAAGTTTAAAGTGTATTAATAGTAAGCATGAATACATATACACATATACAGACGGAGGGGTGAAAGAGGAAGAGAGGGAGGAAGGAAGGGAGATAAAAAGCAAATGTAGTAAAATGTTAACAATTGGTATATCTAAGTGAAAGATATATGGGTGTTCTCTGTACTATCTTTACAACTTTTCTGTCGGTTGAAATTTTAAAAAATAAAAAGCTGAGAAAAAAACATATTTCCTTCCATTTTCTTTTGTAACAAGAATGAGGCTCTATCACTAAACGACTAAAATATTACTTCATTTATTGTGTTAATTAGTTTAACTATGGGGGGTAGGAAAAGAATGTTACAAGTGTAGATGCAAAATATTACATTCCCCGTATTTCACTGTTAATGTGTTAATCTGCCCTTTTACTTTCCAGGTTGTAGGTTTTAAGCTTCTTATCAGACCCACTGCCGTAAAGTCGATCCTGACTCACAGCTACCCCACAGGACTGAGTAGAACTGCCCCAAAGGGTTTCCAAGGCTATAATCTTTATGGATGCAGACTACCACATCGTTTTCCCATGGAGCAGCTGGTGGGTTCAAAACTCTGACCTTTCAGTTAGCAGCCAAATGCTTAACCACTGCGCCACCAGAGCTCTTTTAAGCTTCTTAGGCCTAGTTTTTTTCCCTCAATGCCAATAAATGAAACATCAGCATTTGATCTTGGAAACTATAGGGCTTCCTAACCACTGCCAAATAATCTCAGTAATATTAGGAGAAAATAGTAACCTTTCCCTGTATCTTCAAAAAAATGAGATACACTTCAGCATCATAAAACAATCCTTGAAAGTATTATTTCTGATAAAACAGTCTCAAAGACACCCAGACTCAGAAACTGTTATTATAGCCTATGAAAGTAACTGCTAACATTTATAAAATCTGTAATTCCAATTAGTTGTCTTTCTTAATAATATGTTGCCCTGGTAATGATATTTAAATTGACATCTCAGTTTTTTCTGAAAGGAATAAATACTTGAATTTTATCTTTATTGTACTTCCTTCTTATTTCTCATAAGCAGAAATCAAAAATAAATAAAAGCCTCGATCCTACTGGATTTCATTTTTGTAAAAAAAATTTTTTTTAAGAGTCTTGCTCATTTAAATTAATAAAGGGGAATAAAGAGTCACAGTGTCAGGTCATTTTAAAAATATAAATTATGGGAAGAAAAATTTTCAAAATTATATTTTTATTCTGCAAATTTTATCCCTATATGTTATACATGCTATACCCAGATCATCTTGAAAGGCAATACTTACTATAACTGCCAGGAGATTTTTCTTCATAAGTAAAATGAAGTTGTAGTTCTTCCTCAGACATCTCACAAATGAATACTTTCAGCAAACAGCAAATAATAAACAAAGCATTGTGTGTCTGCCAAATGAAGATGTGGCTAGAAAGGGAAGACCAAAATCACACAAGAATCAGTGTTCAATCATGAGCCTGGTCAATTTATTTCTAGCACATGATGTCTACATAATCCACCAACCACTCTGTCCATTCTATTTGTAATATTAGTACAATGCCCATATCTTCTAATAACTGTTCATGACACAATACACTAGACCAGTGATAACCACTACATTTTACTTTATATCTCATTCTGTGTATTTTACATAGTGAGTCAATGTAATAAAAATCTCTAGTGATATGTGTGAGCATGACTGTTTTGTTCTTGACTTTATAGTTGCCCACATATAGGCAATGCAAAGAAAAGAAATATTAAACTTTTCTTTTAACTATGGTAACATAAAGAAAATATATGTAAATACATAACAAAAAATTTAAATTGGATCACCAGCAGCACAGTACAATATTTACTATTGGTATTAATGACCATGAACTGACAAGAAAAACTTTAAGTGGCTTCAATATAATTTGTTTAGAAGGTAGAGCAATGAACAATTATTTAAAAGATTGTCATTCATTTAAAAAATACTTGAATGCATAAAAGATTAACCTTCCATTGAATCTAATACAGAAAAATTAAAGGCAACAGATGTGGAACGAAACAATATTCAAACTAAGTCATCATTTAAACCACAGCTTTGAACCGATTCGAACCAGTTCAGTAATGGCCAACGAACAGAACTTGCAGTAGACCCGAATTTTTAAAATCTGGATGAAAGGAACAATAACCGGAACAGGAAAAATTACGGGTCGAAGCCCTGGAAGGGGAGACTCAGAAGAGGTGTAGTGAGCCCCTTCAGGAGCCTGATGAGGGAGATCAGATTAGCAGCAGGACTGTGGAGAGCGAAACACATTCAAAGAGGGCAGTCAGACGCCATCTTTGAGCCAGGCAGCACTGTTTCCCACTCTGCTGGTCAAGAGATTTGGTTGCTATGCAAAGCACACATGATGCTCTTGTTTTCTAAGAGGGAGATTAAGTTTCTAGCAGGGCTTCGACCAGTAATTTTTTTTCCCGTTCCAGTTATCTTTCTGGTTCATTTACATTTAAAAAACTCAGGTCTGTTGCGATTTCATTTCCTTGGCCATGACTGAACAAGGAAGAACTGGTTTGAAGACCTGATTTAAACTAGATATAACTAGTAGTAATAATGAAAAAAAAATTACCTCTTTTTGTAATAACTGTATCATTATTAATCTTCTTAAATACTATATTTCTAAAGAGTATCTAAAATGCTGAAATCAAACAGATTCCAGAATTGATAACCCTACCCCAATGACTTGCACACTAAACTAAACCCTGTTTCTTTTACCTTTTCCCCTTAATAGTGGGAGTAATTCCTTAACAGGAGTTTTCAAAAGACTATTAGTCTATTTCCATCAATAAATAAAAAATAATATTCATATTGTTAAATATAAGGAGAACATGACTTAATCAGCTGGCTTACTTCTGACATTCTGCTGAAAGTTTTAGTTCTTTGGTTCTAGAAAGGAAGACTTTAATTAGTGCAGCAAGGTTTCTTGTTCGAGGATTGTTTTCAACTGCAAGAGAAGAAAAGGTTTTAAAAAGTAAAAATTAAGAATTGAAATTGAAGTGAACATATACACATTTATAAAACCAAATGCCAAATTCAAGCTGCTCACTGTCAATTTCACATCTAATAAGGGGAATAAGCAATGAGAGAAACTGCTGCTTGATCTTAATTCTGAACAACAAAAATGATTTCCAATATGAAAATTAGGAGAAAGCAGCCACCTCATCTTAGAATCCAAAAATGGAAAGACATAATAGTTAATAAAAATGAAACCCATTGCCATCGAGTCAATTCCAACTCATAGCAACCCTACAGGTCAGAGGAGAACTGCCTCATAGGGTTTCCAAGGAGCAGCTGGTAGATTCGAACTGCAGACCTTTTGGTTAGCAGCCAAGCTCTTAACCACTGCGCCATCTTACACGTACACACCTTTCTCTTTAGAAAAGCAGACTTTTAAAAAATAATAAAAAATTGATCATCTGTATCTCCAATATATAGAATATAATAAACTGTAAAAAGTAAAATTCCACTGAAAAAAATCACAAACAAAAAATGAATACTCTAGTGAAAAATAAAAAGCCACATTAAAAAAAATGTGATGGGGGAGGGGTTGTTTGATCAGACAAAATTTTAAAGTATTTGTTTAAAATACATATACATAAATTTTAAAAGGTTTAGAAGATGGGCATTTCGGCAAAGCCATCCTATAGAACTTAGAGAATACTATATTGGGAAATCAGGTCTGGTTTCTATCCAGATCTATACTGAACCTCAGAGAAATCACTTTACTTCTCCAACTTCAGTTTTCTCATCTGTAAAAGAAACAGCAGCTAACATATTGAATAATACACACTAAGTGCTTTACATGCATTGTTTCATTTAATCCTCAAAGCAATCCTATGGGATAAGCATTCATATTACCTCCATTTTACACATCCTCACTTGTAGGTTGTTACTTGTTCCAGGACACATCCTTGCCTACTGACTCAAATCCTTGGCTCTAAACTGCCCTGCTACACCAACTCCTTTAAATCAAGGTATTGGACTTAAAGAAAGTAGTTCTATAAGGCTGCACAGCAAGTCACAGAATCACAGAACTTAAGAATTCATCAGAAGGCGTACATCACATCATCAGAATCTTTAATTTTACTGATGAAGAAAAAGAGGTCCTGATAGATTAATTGTCAGGCCCTAAGTCAACAACATAGTAGGGACAAGTGCCCTGGCTTTTCGCTTTACCAATGGTTTTCAAACTGTGAGATCCAAGAGTTTGGGATATTTCTTTTTCTTTTTTAAGTATATTTTGAAAACCAGAAATGCAAACACTCAACACACCTAGGCTGCCAGGAGTATTTATTTTTGTGCTGATCTGCAAATTATGCTTTTGCTGTCATCTCTGTATATATCTAAACTTCTTGAAAATGTGTCAAAGATGTAAAAGGAAATAGTTCTCTAGCATTTTTTTTAAAATCCAGGTCTGAACATACATACTTAAAAAAAAAACTGTACATGGGAATAAGTACACCATTACAGCATACCTGCAATATGCTTAATAACTGCCAAGTCAACTCAGGTATATCTGCTGAGTATGCATTCTTGTCATGGCTTGAGAGTCAGGCAAGTAACTATAAATTTCTCTTTGTATATCAACATGCTATTCGAAGTATGGTTCATGGACTAGCAGCAACAGCATTATCTGGAAGCTTGCTGGAAGTGCAGAATCCCAGGCCCACCCCACACCTACTGAAGTTGACAGTGCTCCCCTAAGTTGAACGTGCACTGAGATCACAAGGCATTCTTATTAAAATGCAAATTATGATTCCACCCATGTGAAGTTCAACCTGAGATTCTGCAGCACTAACAATCTCCCAGGTGATGCCCATTGCTGCTGGTTGGAAAATCCCACTGTGAGCAGCAAGGTACAGCATTTGCTGTAAGCTAGGGGAGCTTTTGTCCAGCTTTCATAATTAAGAATAGATATGTGATCAGATATTAGATATTGTTAAAAGTCTCACTAAAATTTCCTACTTCTTTCCAAGTTTCAGGTTTAGTTTGATGAAATATCTCAACATTTCAGGATAAACTGTTAAAAAGAAGACTCAATATTTCCAAGTGCTTCTCTGTATGAATATTATCTAGCTGTTGTAAATCAAAATAAAACACTGAGACAATGGAGGGCTGAGGCTGATAAGACTAAAATTGTCATCCAGAATCCAAATTTCATTGCCCTGTGTTCATTCAACAGCCTCTTTGTTACTGAATGACTTTATGAGTAATTGTTTGAATTTGTAAATGTGTAACTACAAAAAAACAAAACAAACAAAAAAGTTAAAGACTGTGTTGTTGGAAAGAGGAACCAGACTACTAGACTGATGAAATTAAGGCTTTGTGTACCTTTTACGTTCATTCATTCAGCATGTATTTATTGATGCCCAGATATACTCAGCATTGTTTCAGAAACAAAGGAGACAGATGCCTGTAAACAGAACTCTCTATCCTCATGGAGCTTACATTCTAAGAGTGCTAATGTTTTCACAGTACTCTTTTGGACAAAATGAAGATCAGGGCCAAAATTAATTCACACATTCAATGCTTTGCAAACAATAATACCCAATAGCAGATTCAAGATTCCAAAATACCTCAACCATAGGAGCAATGGTATTTAAGAGGATCAAAGTTAACTGGTAAAAATCAAATGCTAAGTTTAGGCTGAATGAGTTTCAGAAGCCAGAGTAGAACAGGGGACATCAATAGGAAGGCAGAAAAGCATAATGGGATTAGACTACAGAATCTGACTAGGTTCCAATCCCAGCTCTGTCACTATCTAGCTGTGTGATATTTGGCAACTTGACTGTTTGTACATTCATCACTTCATTAATTCGATTCACGTTACACTATTAAAATTTGTAATAGAAAATTCCAAGTAAATGTGCTTCGCACATACATTTTTTCCTCTTACCTAAAGACTTGCAGACTGAAACGGTTGCCTCCTCCAAGAGCTTCAACTCTGTACTGGAGAGACAGAAGAAAAAGGTGATTAATAACTATAACGCTAAATATGTGTACACTAACTAATTAAAAGAATATATAAACAAGAGAAACAATTTGGAAGAAAAGTATGGTATATAGTAGTGAACAATAAGATCAACAAAATAAAGTTTACACTTCAATTAATAATGTATTCAGAAAATTTACTATAATTCTCAATATGAGATTCCTAAGAGCTCAGGATGCTCTTAGGCATTGGAGCGGGGGTGGGAAAAGACAAGAGACAGAATGGGTACATAAACTTCAGTGATTTATAAATATGGAGACCATAAAAAGACAAAGAAACAGACAAAAAAACAGACAAACACAGATACAGAGACAGGAGGCACAGACAGACGAAGACAAGCAAGACACACAGGCAGGAGATAGAAAGGAGACAAAAAGAGACACACAAAAAAAGTAAATACAACAAAAATTTGACAATTGATAAATCTAGATAAAATGTACACAGGTGCTCATTTTATCACTTTTAATACTTCTATAGATTTAAAATTTTGCAAAGTGAGATGCTGGGGGAAACGCACACAAATGGAGAGTTACGGAGAGAATTGAAATATGTAACAAAAGCATTAAATTTGAGAAGGGGGTAAATAGAATTGAAAGAATTTGTGAAGGTCCAAGTTCATATCAAATTTTAATTCAAGGATGGAAGCTCTAAGGCTAACCATTAAAAGAGTAGAAAAGCATATGCAACTAACAGCACACAGAAGGGCAAAAGTAGAATAACAAAGTATATTTAATCAATCTAAAAGAAGATAAAAAAGAACTTAGAACAGGCAAGACAAATAGAGAACAAAAGGTAAGATGACAGATATAAACAAAAATATATTTAAGTATATGTAATTATATTCAGCGTAAATGGACTACAAATATGACTAAGACCATGACTGTCAGTCAGAATTTTAAAAATAATAAAATCTATGCTGTTTACAAGAGATACAATTAAGAATTCAGAAAGATTGACTCTTCTAAAATCAACAAACAGGTTAAATGCAATTCCTATCAAAATCCCAGCAAGATTTTTGTAGATGTAGATAACCTTATTATAAAAATTTATATGGAAAGGTAAAGGACTTAGAATAGCTAAAAGAATTTTGAAAAGCAAGAATAAACTGGGAGGAAACACTCAACCCGATTTCAAGACTTAACGGGTTACAGTAATCAAGACAGACAGTGCTGAGGCTGGAAGCTATGCCATCAGTTATTTCATATGCCAGCAAGGTCACACATGGTAGACAGGTTCCAGCAGAGCTTCCAGACTAAGACAGGCTAGGAAAAAAGGCCTGGCGCTCTATCTGGTAATCAGCCAACGAAAATCCTACATATGACAACAGAATATTGCCTAACACAGTGCTGGAAGATGAGCCCCCTAGGTTGGAAGGCACTCAAACATAGCAACAATCATCAAGAAGGCACAGGACCGGGCAACATTTAGTTCTGTTATATATAATGTTGCCATGAGTCAGAGCCAACTCCACAGCAACTAACAACATGGTAATTCTATGTTTAACGATCTGAGCAACCGAAGTTTCTTTTCTGAGGTGATGAAAATGTTCTAAATTTGACTGTATGATGGTTGCACGTGCCTGTGAACATAGTAAATCTCAATGAATTTTACACTTTAAATGGGTAAATTGGTATTATATCTCAATTAAACTTTCTAAAATGGAAAAAAAAAAAGAGTGCTAACTATCTATATGGGATCACACTGACAACAGCAACTCAGAAGATTAGATAGGAACATTAGGGGGCAGTGAGTGTATGTTAACAAGGGAGGAACAACTCAGAAAAGGAGGGTGAGAATGGTTGCATAACTCAAAGAATGTAATCAATGTCACTAAATTGTACAAGCAGAAACTGTTGAATTGGTGTATGTTTTGTTGTGTACATTCTCAACAACAACAAAAGACAAAGTGCTACTGGCAGAGTGACAGAATCGAACACCCACATGAACAGACTCACACAAATGGTGCTCAAGAAATCAGACATCAACAGGTAAAAAACCTAAACCTAACACCTTATATAAAAATTAACTTAAAATGAATCACAGATTTAAATGTTAAAATATAAAATTTTTAAAACAGAACAGAGCGAGAAAGCTTTGGGACCTAGGACTAGGTGAAGAGTTCTTAGACATGACACCAAAGGCACAATCCATAAAAGGAAAAAAAAAAAATCGATGCTAAAATAATTGATACACCTTCGACATATTGATTTGAGACATATACTTATGTAATAAACATAAAAACATGGACAAAGAAGATACACTATCAACTCCAGAATATGGAAGGAAGGGAAATAGAATAGGAAGGGACGTTTCATTACATTATTTCTTTAAAAGTTTATTTCTCTGATAAAAAATCAGAAGCAAAAATGAGAAAATGGTAAAAAATGTGTTAAATACGGAGGAGGGAATATATGAGAATTATTTATATTTTTAAATCTTGGAAGTATTTCATAAACAAATTTCTGATTTAACAAAAAAAAAAAGCAAATTAGGCATAACTCTGTTGTACAGAGAATCAGTATCTACAAAATAGTGTCAGTCTCCAGAGAAAGAGCTGATGGCGCCATTAGGGAAAACAAGGAATAAGATGAAATCAGCATTTACCCAGAACAAAGTTTTTAAAAAAAAAAATCACCACTGCTCCCCTCCTAACAGAACCTACTTTATTTACTGTCTCAGATGTGAGCCTGCATCTGCTAGGTAACCTTCTCTTCTAAAGCCATATTGTGGGTGCTTAGCACATTTCCAGAGTCTTAGCTGATCTAGACTATGTAGCACTATTCTCAAAAAAAAAAAAAAAAAGTGAAATTTCAACTTCTAGGTGGTCTACAAAAACAAAAACAAAAACCAAACCCATTGCTGTCAAGTCGGTTCCAACTCACAGCACATTCTAATTAAAAACAAATGACAAGATAGAAAGCTTGTTTCAGTGGAAATCAAACTTCAGAAGCAAAGACAAATATTACTTTTCTTTAAAATTTACAAAAGAAAACACAATTGACAACTGTTCATTGATCCAAATGTAGTATACTGATTCAAAATGTGCACTCCAATTCTAGCTCAACTAGCTACGTGACCTTGGACTAGTTTCTTAAATCTTTGTTTTCTTAGTTTCCCCATATACAAGGGTAAGTCAGAAAGGATTACTACTAGGGTTCCAGTTCATACATGCACGGGTTTATTCAAAACAAAACGCGTTTAAACACGTCTGTGCCATCAGTGAATGGCTGCAGACAAGTTCTCTCAGTAATACACTTGTTAGGGTGCCTTCAAAAAAAAAGAATACTTTTTAGGCCATGGAAAAAACAATTTTGAGGTCAGGGCTAATATCAAATTTTTAACAAAACTCAAGTGGACATCTTCCCAAATCACTGAAAATTTGCAACAAGTTTACGGGAATGCTGCCCCACATAAAAGTGTTTTTGGCTGGATCAAGTGTTTTAAGGAAGGTCGGGAAGACCTCAGAGATGAGCCACGAAGACGACTCAGAGGGTTACGGAGGCTGTTTTGGGGGAGTCCAAGGGCGTGATCTTGATAGATTTTCTCAAAGGACACAGGACAACCACAGGGGGTTATTATGAGGAACTTTTAAGAAAACTGAAAACTGCATTGTCAAGAAAAAGGCTGTGCAATTTTTTTCCATCACAACAATGCACCTGCTCATTCTCTGAGGACAGCAAGGGCCACCCTATAAGAATTTCGTTGGGAGACCTTACCCCATCCACCCTACATCCCTGATCTTGCCCCATCAGACTTCTTTTTGTTTCCAAAACTCAAAGGACATTTAAAAGAAACACGATTTGAGTCCCCTGAGGGTGCCAAAACTGCCATTTTTACGTAGTATAAATCAAACAGCGCAGAATTCTTCAGGGAAGGGTTAGAGAGATGGAAACACGGCCTTCAGAAATGTACAGACCTAGATGGAGGATATGTGGAGAAACAATAGCTTCACATTTTGATACTTTTGTTTGATAAAGGTTTCTATGATTTTGTAGCAATACTTTTTGACTTACCCTCCTAAAACAGAGATAATAATAGTACCTGCCTCCTAAGGTTGTTGTGATGATTAAATAATATGTGTAAAGCCTCAGAATAGTGCCTAGCACAAAGCAAACCCTCAAAAAACAGTATCAATTGTTGATTCCAAAAGGTAGTATTTTTTCCTAATTAATAAATTAAAATACAGGTAGTCCCCGAATTTACAACAGGGTTCCATTCCAATGATTCTATTGTAAGTAGGTTCTGCGTAAGTCAAATACCTCATTTTTTTTTTTTTTTTTTAGTTTCCATTATTATTGCCTTTTATTATCAGTGTCTTTATAAATTTGATCTTTATTAGTCTTTGGGGGTTGGAAACATTACATATAAACTTAGATATATTTTAATACATACGTACAAAATACACAAATCATAAGAATGTACTCCAACGATGAAGAAGAGTTGGACAACACTGGCCATTTTGTCAACTGTAGTAACAACTCCACTTGGTAGAAGGTTCTGGATCATGTGGACTATCCCTGGGAATGGGGACGGCGTTTCTAGTCAGAAAATTAGGGAGAGTTGTCTGTACGGTCCTTTTCTTTTTTCTTCATATATTTCCCAATAACATCTCACTGCTTCTCGAATCTACCTATTGACTTTAGCAAAGGAATCAGCGTTTGGGTTCGTGTTTTCAAACAACTGAAGCCCCTTATTTAGTTTAGAAAACCAAATCTATATAGTAAAGTGTTCTGAACAGTAAAGCATAAAATGGAACATCTGCAAGTGAACATCTGAGAATGATAACATCAGCAAATTAATTATGCACTGCAATACTGTATGTAGTACATATTACTAATGATAAGATGTAAAAAAAAAAAAAAGGGATCATAAGTGCAGTTCAGCAAA